GTATTGACATTGTTTAATATAATCTGCCGTACAGTGTATTGACATTGTTTAATATAATCTGCCGTACAGTGTATTGACATTGTTTAATATAATCTGCCCTACAATGTATCGACATTGTTTGATATAATTTGCCGTACAGTGTATTGACATTGTTTAATATAATCTGCCCTACAATGTATCGACATTGTTTAATATAATCTGCCGTACAGTGTATTGACATTGTTTAATATAATCTGCCGTACAGTGTATTGACATTGTTTAATATAATCTGCCGTACAGTGTATTGACATTGTTTAATATAATCTGCCCTACAATGTATCGACATTGTTTGATATAATTTGCCGTACAGTGTATTGACATTGTTTAATATAATCTGCCCTACAATGTATTGATATTGTTTAATATAATCTGCCCTACAATGTATTCACATTGTTTAATATAATTTGCTGTACAATTTATTGACATTGTTTAATATAATCTGCCGTTTCGGACACGCGCTATATTTTTGATAATAACGTCTTGAAACCCATGAACTGATCTCGACCACGTGACAAAGCATGTAGAAGAAATGTTTACGGTGCACGATTATGTGAAGAGAGTTTATCATTTTTATCATTAAACTGGTAAAAAAGCGTAAATATTTCTTTAGTGGACTCAAGCTTTCAGAATAAATGATCGTGTTTCCAAGGGAATGTTTATCTTTCTCATTCCAACTTCCAAGATGCCTTTCTTTATTTTAAATTTCTAGTAGAATTCCAAGCTGGTGCCAACATCTTATGTTCGTAGAGATTATTCGTTACCTAGGTTATGGTTTCAGTTTTTTTTTTTACCGTTATAAAAAAACTGCAATGTGTGTTACGCGTAATTAAAATCACCTGTCACAAACGCTCTCGTGGGTTGCCTGCGTGCACTTGTTCTGCCATTCTTCTTTAATCCTCCTTCTTCGGGTTCTGTGTGATTTATCTTCAACTCTCATCCGAACCGAGGATGATCGGCCCCCCCTCTTCACGTATAAATACGAAACGAAGAATACCTTTCACTCGGAGCACGTACACGTAGAGTAACCGGGGCGAAACTTCAAAGCAGTCCCGAGGATATTTTTGTCACGACCCTCATCAATCGTCATTAATATTCTGTAGAAAATCTCCGTGTTTATTTTGAAAATTTGAGTTTTAAATGTGAGAGACTGGAACACTGCATATTCCTGTCAAACATGTTTTCTTTCTGTAACTAGTTTATATATATATATATATATACGTTGTTCGATTTTAGTTTGTGCCATGTACTGCTAAATGTTTGTTTGTTGAAGTTCGCGAATATCTACTCGAGCGCCATCTGGGCGCTCAGAATTAAGGGCGGTTATGCCAGATAGCCTTTTTGTAGTTTTGTGCGAAAATTTAAAACAAACAAACAAAAACAAGTGGAAATCCTCAATAGCGGCGGCACTTGAAATTCTTTAGGCCTTTTTTTTTCCTTTTTATTAGCTATATTTTTGTGCGCTAGCATTACCAAGCGTGGGGGCGCGCGTATACCCGATTCAATTTTATTACTCATCAGGATCTCTACCAGCCTATCCTCAAATTGAAATTATTTTAGGCAGGATTAGAGTAAATTAATCTATGAGGGTCGCGGGTTCGAATCCCCGTCCCACCAAACATGCTCGCCCTTTTAGCCGTGGGGGCGTTATAATGTGACAGTCAATCCCACTATTCGTTGGTAAAAGTGTAGCCCAAGAGTTGGCGGTGGGTGGTGATGACTAGCCGCCTTCCCTCTAGTCTTACTCTGCTAAATTAGGGACGGCTAGCGCAGATAGCCCTCGTGTAGCTTTGCGCGAAATTCAAAACAAACAAACTAGTCACAAATTGCAACAAAAAATTGCTTCGATTATGTTAATTTCAAACCTAAACGTGCGATTAAGGAACGACACCAGGATAAATTTGGTTTTCAATGTTGTTGTTTTCTTTGTGAAAAGCTACACAATTGCTATTCGCACTTTGTCCACCGAGGGAAATCGAACCCCGAATTTTAGCATTATAAGTTCACTCGCCTACCTGGGAGCATTTTCAATCGTTAACACACAACAATTACGATTTTCATTCTATAAAACAATAATTAAGTTTTATATTCTGTAAAACGACAGTTACGTTATATAATATCTGTGGTGTTTTTGAGTCCTTTTAAATCACCAAACAGTAACGTAAAATAATTTAGGTGTGTGAATAATGTTAGAGCATTGTGCCTAATTTATTATTCGATATTATAAATCGGACCAACCGTTTAATGATTATATATATATATATGTTCTGTTTATATGTATAGCACTTATAAAAAAATTTTAAAAAATCAGATAATTCTTAGTAGAATGATTTGACTTGTGTAATTACAAGAGCTCCAGGCAATTCCAATTAAATGAGCTCCACGCAAACCTAATTACAAGAGCTCAAGGCAATTCCAATTACAAGAGCTCCACGCAAACCCAATTACAAGAGCTCCACGCAAATCCAATTACATGAGCTCTACGCAAACCCAATTACAAAATTTCCAGGCAAATCCAATTCAAGAGCTCCAGACAAATCCAATTACAAGAGCTCCAGGCAAATCCAATTACAAGAGCTCCACGCAAACCCAATTACATGAGCTCTACGCAAACCCAATAACAAAATTTCCAGGCAAATCCAATTCAAGAGCTCCAGACAAATCCAATTACAAGAGCTCCAGGCAAAACCAATTACAAAATTTCCAGGAAAATCCAATTCAAGAGCTCCAGACAAATCCAATTACAAGAGCTCCAGGCAAATCCAATTACATGAGCTCTACGCAAACCCAATTACAAAATTTCCAGGCAAATCCAATTCAAGAGCTCCAGACAAATCCAATTACAAGAGCTCCAGATAAATCCAATTACAAAATTTCCGGGCAAATCCAATTCAAGAGCTCCAAGCAAATCCAATTACAAGAGCTTCAGTCGGTTACGGAGCACGATATGGACAGGACAGAAATGATATACGCAATAAATATTCGAGGAAATACTGCTAAGAGAGCATCGAATGTTATTTATGAAATTAAAAAAAACAACATAAAACATAATTCACGTTTTGGGTTTTTTTATGAAAGAACATGTGGAATTTGAAATATGAAATGACAAAAACTGTTTTTGAACTATTTCGTCACGCACCGAAATACATTCTTTCTTTTTCTACATATTTATATAACGCAGTGTATGATTGACCAAGCATAGGCCTGTGGCCCCCCCCCAAAAAAATGGGGTCCCAACTCCTCCATACTCGTCTTAAATTTTGACTTTTGCGAACAAACAAATTCATAGCAAAAAAATAATATGATGTAATAGGTTATAAATGCTGCATAAAATCGTATCTCTCGCACTAGGCCTAAGGGAACTTGATTAAATTTTTCATTAAAAAAAAGGGTAAAATGTTTTCTTATAAAATCATGAAATGAAGTATATTTAATCAACGCCCCCACAGTGGTAAGTCTGCGGACTTATACTGCTAGAAACCCGTGGTGGGCAGAGCACAGATAGCCCTTTGTGTAGCTTTGTGCTTGATAACAAACAACGACATTTAATCAAAATAATAAATCTTAATTACAATATGAAAAATGCAGAAACTATATAAATTGTAATTTCTTGGTGAAGGCAAAGTATAGGACTCGAGTATTCTTAGAACTGGCCGCTTTAGGACAGGATCCGGGGTGTCCAATGGGTAATCCGGCCACGATATAATGACGGATTTCACATATAAATATTATGTGATCAAAAAAACTAGATATTCAATCAAATTTTCTCGAGAAAGAAAAGACAAGACATTATTTATTCTATCGTCACATACGTTTTGTAATTTATAATGTCAGTTAATTTTGTGACCCCCCCCCTCCCCCCCCAGTGGCACAGAGGAATGTCTGCGGACTTACAACGCTACTAGAAAGTGGGTTTCGATACGCATGGTTGGCAGAGCACAGATAGCCCACTGTGTTTCTTTGTGCTTAACTTCAAACAAAGAAAAATGTGTTTTGTGATTGGTGAACTTAATTTATTATTGGAAAACTACGCATTACTTGCACGCATATTCTTTCTTTCATATCAATGGCCACGTCATGGCATGGCCTTTAGTGGTTAATGTGCCGGGCTGCGGATCGCAGGGTACAAGAATCGAGCTCACTAACCACACTCCGCAGTTTGTGGGCTCGTTTGAAAAAGGCCCGGCATGGCGAGGTGGTTAGGGCGCTTGACTCGCAATCTGAGGGTCGCGGGTTCGAATCCCTGTCCCACCAAACATGATCACCCTTTCAGCCGTGGGGACGTTATAATGTGACGGTCAATCCCACTATTCGTTGGTAAAAGAGTAGCCCCAAGAGTTGGTGGTGGGTGGTTATGATTAGCTACCTTCCCTCTAGTCTTTCACTGCTAAATTAGGGACGGCTAGCGCACATAGCCCTCGTATAGTTTTGAGCGAAATTCAAACAAACCAAATTGTTCGAAAAGTGAACTCCAATACCACTATTGGGTTAGGACTAGCCGTGTAGGTGGTGAGTGCTGCGGACAGTTGCCCCCACCCCACCCTTTGGTTAGCAATTCTAAATTAGGGACGGCTATGTTTGAACTTTGAGGTCTCTGACATGACTGTTTTTGCCATACGTCACATTAGATGCCATGCAGGTTAAACTAGTAAGTCACGATATCCCGGTGGGACAACGTTAAGTCGTCGGATTTGCAAAGCTACAATCAGGGGTTCGATTCCTCTCGGTGGACTCAGCAGATAGCCCGAAGTGGCTTTGCTATTAAAAACACGCACCAAGTCACGTCATTACGAAGCATAAGTACGTATTCTACTTTTGAGTCATTTAAATTTAGTGTTTATGACAAAAATTAATATGATGAAATAGATTATCCTAATTTTGAATTCTAGAAGAGAAGGAAGGCGGCTAGTCAGTATCACTTCCACCACCAACATCCACGCTAATGGATTAACTGTCACTCTTATAACGCACCCGCACCTTTAAAGTGCGGGGAACATTTTGTAGTGTTGTTCGTCCTAATTTTGAATTCTAGAAGAGAAGGAAGGCGGCTAGTCAGTATCACTTCCACCACCAACATCCACGCTAATGGATTAACTGTCACTCTTATAACGCACCCACACCTTTAAAGTGCGGGGAACATTTTGTAGTGTTGTTCGAATTTGAACCCTGCTCGCCAGCTCCGAAATACAAAGCTCTACCAAACGGCCAACACGTGCCCTAAGACTTTTACAACTATATACAAAAATGCATCTCCTATTTTTATCTGTTCAGTGGAATATACAATAGGAAAAAAAACAACTTTTAGGAATGTTAAGTTTGTGTCATAACAGTAAATAATGTTCTGTGTCTGTGTAGCTTTTGTTAAGCCTACTTGATATAGACACCGAAACATAGTATGTGCGACACCTATGGAATTTTTTTATCACTAAAATAATTACGCAGTAAATTAAATAATAATAAAACAACAAAAAGTAATACCTAAAAAAATGTTTGCTACAAAATTCAAGCCTATTTGGGTTGAGCTCAAAACTATGAGTGTATAAGCATCGTTAGAATGGGAATTTAGGGTTACAAACGCATTAAATTCTCTCTCTTTTACATTTAAGATATTTAGAGTTCTAATACGACCAGAAAACTACATCTATCATACTTAGCTAATATATCTGAAATAGTGGCTAACTGCGTTCTTTGCGGTGTTTTATTCTGAATCGGTGTTGTTGAATTAAGTATTTCATGGACAGAAAGAAAAAGAAGGTAAAGAAATAAAAGCAACAGGTGTTTCCAAGTGTAATTGTAAATCAACCTATTTCACTTTGCTTCGCATGGTTGAATCTTGGCTGTGAATTTGAGCATTGTGTGCTACAACCGAAATAAACCAGACGAGCTTCTTGGTCTGTACGGGTTTGGGGCCAATAAGAGAGACAACCAGGTCATCCACATGGGGCCAGCTTACGATCAGCGGATTCACCACTCTTCCATTACAATATATTGCCTTTTTTTTTTTTTTGTTGGCTTACTTGGGGGTTTCCTAAGCAGCTGCATACTGTTAAGTTTTAACTTCCCTTGGTATATGCTGACGTTTGTATTTCCTATACAATCAACCCACGATCGTAAAAAATTTTACGACCAAGCCACGAACATGTAAAGAGCCTTATTTTCTGAGAAAGTGTAACAGTGACTGGCGTATACTTTCCCATATGCTCAACCTCTTAGCCATTATCTATACTCTTATCAAAGAGTATAGCGCGCACTTCTCGTGCCCTAAGTCTCAAAACGATGTATGCAAAATAAGAAAAACATCAAATTTTTTTTTTATAAGTAGTCGATGAAATAAACTGGTCGTGGATGACAGTGACAACAACAAAGTAAAGAATTATCTTAAGTCTAAAAGGAAAATATTTTTTTAATGTATTGTTATGCAGTATTTTTTAATAATGATAAAACCAAAGACATTTGGTGGTATTATTTTGACTTGTCTGTTTCTCACGTGACTTGGAAGTGCACCTGAAACGATAAGGACAAACGATTCAGAACAGCAAACAGACGAAATGACGTGTACGAATAGAACGATTGTCTGTGTTTTTAATATTTTGTAGTTAACAATATATTTTGTGTCCAAGTCGTGTTTATGTTGATTTTAGAACACGAAACTATGAATATTTTTGTATCTATTTGAACTAAACCAGTTATCTTGTTTTTATTAGACAGATTTTGTTATCGTCCGGGGGGTAAGTACAATTCCAGAACAGCCGAGAGTCTAAGCGCTGTTTGTTCCGGCCATTGGGAAAAGACATGGCATGAGCGATCCGAGAGAAGCGGACTGCAGGCGAGATGACTGCGTTTTGTCCGATTCTTCTGTAACTATATCGCCGTAGTTGAACGTGATGGAACACTCATCGTCTGAACTGTGTACGCCACACCTGAAGAAGGTTTTAAAGAGTTATCAGGCTACAGCAGCGGCAAGTTTACACGGACCGAACACTTTAATGGCAACAACATTAGAAGTATCGTCACCGACGGATAAAATGGGAATCGTGACGGTAACAAGCAAAGAGATATCGGGGCCATCCACTGCCAAGGCGGAAAAAAAAGCCTCATCAGTCGACCAAAAGCTTAGTAAGGATTATGATCCATTTCTCGCTCCTCCACCTTTTCCAATTCAACAACCTCCGATTTTCACACCGCCAGATAGGAGTCGCTGCAAAAGATCGGAAACAATATTAGAAGGTGAGACCATATCGTGTTTTATCGTCGGAGGAGAAGAGCGTCTCTGCTTTCCTCAAGTGTTGAACCCCGTGCTTCGCGATTTCAGTTTACCACAGATATACAGCGTTTTTGCTGAACTGAATATTCACTTCTCCAGTTGCACACAAGAACAACTTGAAATTCTCAAAGTAGGGGGAGTGTTACCATTAACTGCTCCAAGTTGTGGCCTCATTACCAAGACTGACGCCGAAAGACTTTGTGCGGTACTTTTTCATAATCAAACGGTCGGGACTGTTCCGATATCGGAAACGAAGCCGTGTGATAAACGTTTATTTAGTTTCAAAGTTTATCACGAATGTTTCGGGAAGTGTACTGGAATTTTAACCCCTGATTTATATATTACACCGTACACAAAATGTATCGAATGTGTGGAATGTCACGGACTGCTGAGTCCTCAGAAATTCGTAAGACACGTGCATCGTTTCAGAGAGAATCGTACGTGTCACTGGGGGTTCGATTCAGCCAACTGGCGGGCTTATCTACTGCTGAGCGAAGATCAGGATAATATTGGACGGCTTCAAGAACACCTCGAAGATGTGAAAAGAAGGTTCGACTTTTCAAAGGCGTACACAAAGCAACAGGTAAACTATGTCGAAAAGTTTGTTTTTTTTAAATAATTTAATAAAATTAATTTTCGCTTAAACGTTAAATATCCCACTTTAGTTCTAGGCCTAGCAGTTTAAAGATATTTGCAGAACATTTATGTGAGATATCATTCTATAATTGTAGTGAATTACATAAGACTACGGGTATTTTTTTTTGCATCAACAATGAAGACTGTCATATATGAACGCGTTACCACAAATCTTGTAATTTATTTCTGTACTAATATTCGAGAAGTCCCAGATGGGCCCGGCATGGCCAGGTGGATAAGGCGCTCGACTCGCAATCTGAGGGTCGCGGGTTCGAATCCCCGTCCCACCAAACATGCTCGCCCTTTCAGCTGTGGGGGCGTTATAATGTTACGGTCAATCCCACTATTCGTTGGTAAAAGAGTAGCCCAAGAGTTGGTGGTGATGACTAGCTGCCTTCCCTCTAGTCTTACACTGCTAAATTAGGGACGGCTAGCGCAGATAGCCCTCGTGTAGCTTCGCGCGAAATTCAAAAACAAAACAAGCAGACAAGTCCCAGATATTGGGTGATCTATTTTTCTCCGTAGACCTACACAACAAAATACGTTCAATTTTTTTTTATAAACCCCAGACAAATTTTGGAAAGCTGTGTTGTTGTTTTTTCTTTATCGACAGGAAGTTTCGGTGAGGTAGTATTTTGATGACGTAGATTAGCTTGTGCTGTTCGAAACTATTAAGTAAGGATGAATTGACGAATTTCGTTTGTTTTTATAAAAGACTCCATGCCGTCTGCCACCATTTTTAGAACCACGTACTATATTTATTTTTAACTTTCAAATTAAGTGTTACTACTATGTCTTAAAAAGTCTTAAAGAAATAACTATTTAAGGGTAAAAATTATTACTAAACATTTTTAAGCACTGTAAGGTCAGGTACGTGAATAACTATTTAGTGTTTTTTCTAAAACTCCCCCTAGTAGCTCGGTAGGAAAGTCTCAAGTCATATAACGCTAAAAACTGGATTTCGATTCTCGTGGTGGGCATAACACAGATAGCCCACTGTGTAGTTTTATGCTTAACAACAAACAAACAATGTTTTCTAATTTACTGTTGTGACGCTGTACTTTCGTTTTTGGGTTCTTTTAAAGTATCTGGTTAATATAATTCAACGTCTAGTCCATGTAACAATAACAAATTGGTTATATTTCTTTAAGGTTACTGTACAGGCTTTTACACTTTGCAAGTTGGTGTAGGACCACGTTTAAAGTCACGGTAACTGCACTACACTAACGTAAAAATCAACTTATTTACACAAATTACTTCAATATGCGCTATATCTAATATAGATCCGAAAACGTAAACACACGGACTAATTCACTCTACCAGCTAGAAAACAACTCAATCTTCTCGATGCTTCACTACAAGCTAACTTAGCCAAATTAACTGGCTCGGCCGTATTTATAATCTAGGTTCATAGTTTAATTAAAGATTTTCCGGACGTTATCTGGGTGAACATAAAACCTAGAAAGTTTGTAAACTTTAAAAAGTCATGGTATTTGAAAGAGAGGTAAGAAAAATTGAGGGAAATTAACCCAGAACCTCGAAAAATCAAGAAAGTTGTGTTCCCCCATTCCGTTTTGTTTTATAACTTACAAACCATCCGTCTTGGCAGTGTCAGTTATTGGTCTATTTTAACGATCAGTCGATGTATATATTATGTGGTGATAACTAGCTCATTATCTACATTTTTTGTTAGAATATTCGTTTATAAACACAATTGTAGGATTTTATTGTTTATTATCAAGTTCCAATGTTCGTGTTTGAGTATCATTTTTAGGTCCGGTGGTTAGGGCGCTCGACTATTAATCTTGAGGGTTGCGGGTTCGAGTCCCCGTCACCGAACGTGTTCGTCCTTTCAGCCGTGGGAGGCGTTATAATGTGACGTTCAATCCCACTATTCGTTGGTAAAAGAGTAGTCCAAGAGTTGGCGGTGATTGATGTTGACTAGCTGCTTTCCCTCTAGGCTATCAATGTTAAATTAGGGACGGCTAGCGCAGATAGCCCTCATGCAGCTTTGCGCGAAATTCAAAACAAACGTTTGTTCCCATTGTGAATTTTAAAGCCGTGCGGATAATTTAATATACATTAAAAAAATCCTTCATTGATTTGTTCCAAAATATAAAACGATCTTGTAAATACCTCTTCTAGTTTTGTCTTATATATTTTGCTAATTTATTTCTGAAATTTTCTTTATGGTTTCGTATAATTTTTCTTTCAAAAGAGGCTGTTTCTCATTTGGAGTCAGTTACATGTAAGAGTCAACGAACATTTAATATCACAAGGAATAGAAATTATACTGGCATGGCCTGATTGTTAAGGTACTGTTTCGTATTGCGAATTTGAAATAATCCGAAGCCGAGTTAAATAATTTAAATTTTAATATTTGAACTGTACCCTGGATTTAGTGTCTAGAAATATGCCGATATTTTATTTAATTTGCGTTATTTGTCAACAAGATTGGTTCACACCGTTTTTGTTTTTTGACACAAATACGTTTTAATATATATATATATACACACACAACACTGTAATTTACAATAGCAACAATTACGATTAGTTATTACAAACAGTTTCATAAACAAAAATTTCACTAACTTACAAATAACCTAAGATCTTCCTAGTTCAGAGTCTCCTTGATATTCAGCGAGTTAACTTGAAGTCGATGTACGTACAATTGCCGAGAAGCTAGCTAGCTTTGTCAGACACTGAACTGTTGGACCGTTGAAGTAAGATAATATTTTCATAACACCACTAATATCCGATGAGAATTCAGTAATACTTTCGGAAAGATACTAACGTCTGATAAGAATCCAGTAATATTTTCGGAAAGATGAGAATTCACTGACGTTCGAAATTTATAACTGTTCCTGGTCAAATGTTGTAAATTTTCCGGTTGATAAGGGTTAGCAAAATCAGGGTTTATATCGTATACGTTATAACAGTTTCTTAGCAGACTTAAGTATTCTCTTCTTTGGCCTTGGTCTTTTTATACGAGCGGGCATTGCTTTTCTCGAACGTTCGGACAATACTGAACTATATTTATCCGGTTACGGAAGTGGATATATTGTTGATTCTTGCTTTCACGAATATTCTACAATCTTGGAGAATTGGCGGGAGTTTCGCCATACGTAACTAACACTGTGAGCTAGGCGCGTTTTTACATATAAACTCAATCCCAACAAACGTTGTCATTAAAATAAATATATAACAAATTCGTAACATCGCAATACATATCTGACACTATAAGTTACGCATATTTTTAAATACGAATTTAATACGTTCATATTAAAAATAAATACATAACAATAAATTCGTTACAGTACTTAAGTCTCAATCTGTGGGTCTAGGGTTCGAATCCCACCATCGTACAGCGTTTCGGTCGTGGGGTAATTATAATATGACTGTCAATCCCACTATTTGTTGGTAAAAGAGTAGCCCAAGAGTTGGTGGTGGGTGGTGATGACTAGCTGCCTTCCTTCTAGTCTATCACTATTAAATTAGAGACGGATAGCTCAATAAATATCGTATATATATATATTCTGAAGTTTTTATTACTCTTATAACAAGATTAAAGCTAAAGTAACGATACTTAGGAAAAGTTAAATGTGTCGTACGCGAGCATATGGAAATCTGGGAAATCTGAACTTTTGCCCGAAAAGTCTGTGAAAAAGTTTTTGAAAGAATGTGGTTACCCAGATTATTCAACTCGAATAAAAATTAAAGCTGAAAAAAAAAAGTATTATCACTGTGAATTATTAGGGTGTGAGAAATTGTATATGTTATCAGTTGTGTTTGCTGTTTGAAATATGTATGCTGTTTACAATGCTAAAATTAGTGATTCGATTCCCCTCGATGTGGCTTTGCTGTAATAAAACACACACACACACACACGTGCCTTCAGAACTGACTTGGTAGTTGAAATTGATTCACGTTACAGTAGAACGCTACTAGGGAACGCTGTGCAACCGTTTAATTTTTTGCTGTAATTAAAGGTGTTACTTTTAATTAATATTTATTTACGAATATCACGCATTCGGTTATCTGTGGAATCAAAGTGAATGTGTTGTTCCAGTTCTAGTTTAAAATTAATGTTAATGCCATAACAATGGTCAAGTGATATTTTCTTTTTTAGATATGTCAGATCAGAAGAGGGCGCATAAGTAGTTCGTGAATCAGAGGTGTAGATTGCAAATTAAAAATGGGGGCCTAAAGTTTATTTGAGCGAATGAAACGAAGACCCTGGATTCTGGATTAAGTTTCTTTTTTTTTTTTGCATTATCCTGCTTTTCCAGAAAGTCATTTCCCTAATTTTGATGCATTTTTTAGTGGATTGGAAATCCCCCCCCCCCCCCCCCC